TGTTTTTCTGATCGAATTTCAAGGGAAATTTCAATCTTTTAAAAAATTCTCAATCACTGATCAGTTCTAACTTTCTCGTTGAATTTTTTCAATTCAAATTTTTTGTTAAATACTTTGATAAGTGCTATTATTGAGCGAAAAAATTCTTTCAGCTTTTTTTCTGGCATAATGCGAAAAATAAAGCCGTAATATCAGCAGAAAAAATGATTGATCAAATCAATTAGCTAATTTGTTAGAACTAAAACAGAATGCTTTACATATTGAAATGGAAGCAAATAAGATTCTACTGAATGGTTCAAATGTCAGAATGAACTCTTGCAATTTCCATCACCACCAAAATATTTTGATCAGAAAACGGTATGTAATTTTGTGAAATTATCAATCTTACACTGTGGACAAAAATATTAAATCTTAGTTTACATTTTCTTAGTTTAATATTAGTTTACCTTTTGCATAAATGCAAATAATTTACGGAACAAAAACTATGTTTCTTATTTTTGCATGTAATTTTCAGTATTTAATTCATATAATTCAGCTAGAAAATAGTTTGGTTGTACTTATTCAAATTAAATTTTTTCTACAAAAATGGACAGTTTTAGGTTTAGTGCGCTTTTAGATTTGATCAGTTTTGAAAGGTATTTGATTATTAATTTAATAGATTGTATTTATTTATTTAACAAAATTGATTTCTAATTAGTATTGTTAGTTTCATTAAACTTGCCTTTACTTATAGTTTTTATAATGGACTATAAGGTGCATGTACAAATATTTCCTTCATGGTTTGAGCCTGTAATTCAGAACATTCTTGATTTTATCTCACGATATCCAAGCAAAGTTATTACAGTGGCATTGTCATGCTTGGTTATTTTTCTGCTTTTCAAAAAAATTGTTGACCCCCTACTCTACGAATTTTACAGTAAATACTTTATTTTCATTATTATTTTGTATATAATATATTTAACAATTTCGAATATTTTTGAAAAGATTGGCATGATATTATATCGTTAAATTCAGAATCGGTTTTACAATACGAAGTTACATTACAAATGCTGAAAGATGAATTAGAAAAAGACTTTCAAGACTATCAGTGGAGTGATCCAAACTTTTGCAAAGCTTACTTTGCGGTACATTTTTTAATTCCAAATAAATTCCTCTAAAATATGAGTAAACTTTACTTTGATGAAGTTTAGAGCCAAAAATTTAAAAGAATTGAAAAATTATAGTTATAAATTAGTTTTAATGATTCCAAAAAAATGAGGGAAATAAAATACGTTAATAGATGTACTCTGCATACCGTGAACTACGCATGATGGCAAAACGTAATTACCGTGGACAAATTTATTCAAATGATCGTCGATGGATTCAATTTGATTACCTTAAATTAGTCAAATAATAGTTATAACTCAAAATTAGAAAACTTCACAAAAACAATTGGCATGTTATGACCAAAAATTTTGTCAGTGATTTACTGCATTGTTGGATTTATGTTGTGCTATTTATTAAATAATATTTTTAGATACAATATTTATTGTAAAAACTATCTTTTAAATACGATTATTGCTATAAAAACTGCTATCAAAAAACATAGATCAAAGCAACATTAAAAAATTAATAAATATGCATATCCATAATTTACAGTACAAAGCAACAAAAATGCAAATTTATTGCAGTAAAATTATGTGACTAATAAACATTCCGATTGCTCTGATAAAAATTCGAATCCCTTGATGATAAATTTTTCCTAATTTAAAGAAGTAATCAAATTATTACTTATATGGAATACAAATTACAGTGACTACAGAAAATACTTCAACTTTCAATCCCTTTATATCAAGGAAATTTGATGAAAAAGAAAAAGTATGCTTCTAAATGATTTGAAATTAAGCCTCTTTTAGCATCTTAATTTTATCATCTTTCGAACCAAATTTAAAGTTTATTCTTTTAATTTATTTAACTTATTGTTTAAAACAATATCTAGCTAAGTAACAAAGCCTTTGGAATGTACCTTACAAAAATTAGTATCTAATTTCTAATTAAGTCATTCTATACACAGTAGTTAAACAAAGTTTACACCGATATTATTACTGCTTCGGTTAATCATTTATTACAAACTGAACCAATATTTTGTTAAATTCATTTGGTAGTGTCTAAAGTTGATATGGTTATGAGATTTTAGGCAAATTCCACATGACATAGTAATGTAATAAAGGTCAAGAAAATTTCTATAAGGGTAAAGTTCACTACTTTGTCAGCATTACTAGTTATTTCTGTGTCATATTGCCTCAATTTATAATTTGTTGAACGAAGGATTATTGTGCGACCGTTGAGTGGCTGAACAGGTCGCCAGTTATGGCTCATTTTTTTAGAGCTTAAGTGTACCTCGCGAATTGTTTGCAGCTGAAAGGTTAAAAATAAAAGGTGAAAGATGAGAATATGAATGAAAATACCTAAATGAAGCATAAATACATGAATGTAAACGTTTCTATTTTGAATAATTCAGACTTTAATTCAAGCTTGAATTACTTGCTCACTTTTATCTCATGATAAATAAGTTAAAACAAGAAAATTCAGGTAGCAACGAGACTTTATTTATACGTATTTAAGACATGAGATGCTTAATTAATGCCAAAACTACTCAACGGCATTCAATTAAGTTTGAAAGAACGATTGGCTAATCAACGAAACTGTTTGTAAAATTTTGTATGCGAATGTTTTTCTTTCATTAGTAACAAATTTACCTCTTAAAAAAATTAAAAAAATGAAATAAAAAAATAAATAGCTTTTAAATCAAAAAGGCAACGCTTACATGCGTGATTTCACGTTTCATTCCAAAATTTTTAATTTATATATTTTTTTAAATGTCTTTAAAATAACTGCATAAATTTAGCGGTTATAAAATGAAAATAATTATGCTAAAGTACGAACAATTTTTCGAAAAGTAAACAAGTAAAAATTTTTGTAAAAAATTACACTCCCACAAGACATGAAATTTTTCGATTTTTATTTGTACTATTGAAAACTTAATTCTTATGGATTGCTATTTTTCCTGCGCAAATTTCTAAATGCCTTCATAATCAAAACTGTTACCGTAATTATTGCTATTTTCTTACATGCTATTCAATTGTTATTACATAATATATTTTTTATTACTAATATATTTAGCTTCAGTTTCAATATTTGAATAAAATCATTTCAATCGTACATTTTCGATTTGAATTGTAATTTATAACATTACAAGCATAATCTAGAAAACAAGTGAAATTCGGATTGTGCTGCCATTATATTCATACTATTTTATATTTTTTCTGGTATTTGTCGCAAATTTTTTCGCGATTACAGCATTAATATTAAATATTCTCACCACAGATATAGTATAGATACTTAGCTACAGTATACATATATATTTATATTATTCATATAGAATTAAAATTACTTATGATATTTTCAGTTCTTACCTGAAATGGAGTTATTGTGATGGGACTAGCCATGATAGTCCATACCACAGATTCATCACAGCTCGGTGTAGTAAGTGAGCCTTCGTAACGGTAAAAATGTTCTTTTTTCAATGGTAATAGCGAATTAGGTGAAAAATTTGTTACCAAAGTTTCCATATCTATAATAAAATATACTAACAGCAAAATTATATATGATTAATTACTTCCGCTATAAATATTTTGCTTATATATGCAAATCAATCCAATAATTTAATTATTTTTCAATCCAGTAATTACCTAATAACTGAGCAGCACCGAACTACTTGATTACATGATTGAATAAATGAATTTTTGATTTAATATAACCTAATATGTTAATTTAATGAACGATTAATTGTATCATTATCTAATTAAACATATGCAACATAATAACTACTATATCAACTAATTAGTTGATTATATAATTTAATAATTATGCTGCACTTAATTTGTCATCGAAGCATTGACATTTTGCTGCATAGAATATTTTTTTAAGAATCTTTTTTAAAAATCAAAATCTGTCCTTAAAGTAAAGTAAATATTAAGCAAATATTAGCGTTTAGAAACATTTAAATTTTATCAGTACCGCAAAAATAGCTTATATGAATTCTCAAAAATGCTACTGTGTTATGAAAAAATTGAGTATAATGAAGAAAGTAATTATATTAATTTCTAGCCTTTATTTTGGTGTAAAAAAATGCAAAATATTTTCCGCTGAAATTTCCGTATTTTATAAGGAATTAATTTAAACAAATTACTTTATTAAATTAAAGAATGAACTTAGCAAAGAATTTTATTAATAAATTAATTGCGATGATTTTTTTCAAATTGTTTTGGCAAAAATTTATTAACAAATACACCAAATATTGATTTAATTAATTAATTAATTAATTAATTCTAATCAATCTATTCAGCTAATTGTACGTTAATCATATAATGTTTACCAGGCATTTTGATATTTTGGATAAAAGGTGTGAGATGTTTGATAGTTTCAGTGTAATTTCCAAGAGTTATGAATACTCCCACAACCGCAATAGTATTGACTTCGTCTGGTGTGGGATTTTCCTTTACATGTACCAAATGAAGCTAAAATCTTTAATTTATTATCACTTGAAAAGTTTTTTGTAGGAATTAATAAATTGATTATTACCAGTAAAATTGTATACTTAATTCCGCTTTCAGAAGGTTCATTATAAATTTTAACGAAAATTTTATTAGAGCAGATTCCAAGTTTTTCAAAAGTGAAGTTTAACGTGAAAAGAATAAGTGAAGTTTTTGTCCGTGCAATTTATCATGATGAGAATATCTAAATCTTCAACAAAAAAATTACCACGATATTTTCGGACCAATTTCAAATCAGAAGAAAAATCTTTTTTTTGTTTTATAAATTTAATATATATATTGAACCAAATGTTAATACCACTGAAAATTGCAATCACATATTATTAGATTTCACTCATATTATCATAAAATATCCGCAGTATTAAATTTATGCTATCGAAAAAAATGCAAGGATAAGTTGTAAAAAAACCCTTATCATTAAATTCTCAACCTTATCACTATATCCTTATTTTATCAATCAAATCGATTGAAAAAAGCAATCATTTCGGATGAAATTTCAATTAATCTTGAATTTTTGGAATTTTTTTCTTCTTAATTCAAACCTAAATAAAAAATTTGAAATTTTAATTAAATATGCTGATTTGTTGAGATTAATTTGCATGTGGACATACTGACCTCTGCAGGAAAGTGTAAACTAGATACTGTATGCTCACTGCCAACATCATTTTGTAGTGCCCAATGGAAGTGAAATTGTGATAATTGGTAAGTACCATTGATACCGCCGCCTATAATGAAAGGTCGCTTGTCGCCCCAGCTATCAAAACCTTCTGCGATCACTGTAATCAATTTCAAGTCGTTAAATCTCGTAAGTAATTATCGATTGAGTCCGTGAGTTGATCAATTGTTTGTTATTAATTAGATTATACTTTTGTGAAATAAATTTTCTATGATAATGTATATTATTTACTGCTACTAATATCTAAACAGTTTCGAATTTCGCAAAAATTACTTACGGCTAAAAATGCAACAAAATTAAAGCAGTAAGTACTGAAAATCCATTACTCTCCGTGAGTGTATAATTCTAAAAATTGAAATTTTCTCACGCAAAATATGTATTCTTGCAAAAAATCATTCGAAAATAAAATTACTGTAATCATTCTAATGCTTTATAATCTTTCATTTTAGCAACATTCCAGCAATATACGATTGATATTGTCTGATAATATACTTGTCAGTTTCATGGAGGGAATTATACAAATAGACCATTTTAATAGCTAATTGACATATTTTGTTTGAATATTCTAAAATTATTAATAAAAGAATTTACAAGTGTGATACTTTGAAAAATGAGAATCTCTCAAGCTTTCCCGAAGAAAATTGATAATTTTCTTATGGAAATAAAATTCAGAACTACACAAACTAGATTAAGTCATACTTAAAACATCGAGCTAAATACAAAAAATTTGTTAAGGATATCTTACCAGTGTGTCCGTTATTTTTCAAAGTGATGTCACCAAAACTTTCATAGTTCATGAATAGTAAAGGTGGTAGAGGTAGGACTTCAATATCGAATACCGAGATATCCACAGGAGATTGACGTTTGCCAAATTTGCATAGTCCTTGCCATGTCATTGGTCCATCAAGCAAACTATATCCAAAATTATGTATGCTACCTAAAGCAAATATAAAAATGTTAAAAAATATTGCATAAATTTAAAATAACTTTCTTTAATGGGATAAAAATTCGCATTTTCATGCAACAGCAAGCTAATCATCTGATAAAAATCGGTGCTAAAAACTCACAACTTTGTTTTCATCTAACAAAAATTGAATGTAAAAATTATGACTACACGAAGAAAAAATGAAATTCAAATTATTTATACGTTTTTTAATATCAAACAATTTCTGTGTATTATTGTTAGCATTTTTTTTTGCATCAAAATTGAATCTAACAGTACATTCAATAATCAGCCAACGTGCAGCAATTGTAATATACAGTATGACATTTCTGGACTGCATAATTCTGCACTGAAAATTCAAATGAATAAAAAACAAATGAATGATCAATTCTTGAATATACCATATTTGAGAATTTTGTTACTCAAATATACTTTTTAATAAATATATTTGGGAAAATAAGAGAAAACTGAATAATTTGTTATGCATATGTTGATCTTCTTTCTTCATATACTGCATTATTAATATATAGAAACTTTCTGTTCCTTTTAATTTAAAATTAATTAAAAAATCAAATGATAGCATTAGATGAACGATCAGATGCCAGAATAGTCATTATTTGTAATTTATTATTATTATTATTATTAATCATTGAAAACATTTCAATCTTTGCTGATAACAAGTAATAAGTTGTTGATAAAGAGCTCACTGCTATCAAATTGGCAAGATAATTTTTATATCATTTTTACTTATTTGTTACTTGTTTAATTATTCAATACTTATTTACTCTGAAACATTGTATTCAACGGATTGTCTAGAAATAACGCAAATGTTTTTTCATCTTGTAGATTCAATTTTATTTTTAAGAAATTTTTTCAAAATTTTACTCTGTCAAAGATTTCAATTATTGGAAAATTTAATTCATACAATATTTTTAAATTCTGATCTTTTCTGATATCATACAAAATTTCACAAACAATAAGTTAAATGAATTCTATAGTGTTATTTTGCTATTTTTAACAATACATTTTGCATTTAAGTTAATGTTTAATAATTTTATGTAATGCAATGAAAAGACTTTAATCAAAAAACTTTTTTGCAAAATAATATGTTTGTTTATGTTTATTAGTAATTCGCATATCAAAAACCACTTTTGCAGATAGTATTTAATTCTCCTTAATTTCTCAGACAATATGCTAATTTCAGGTGTATGCAAATTCCTAGCAAACCAAATTTTTCTTTAAATATTTTACTGTCTTTGTAAGACAAGCAACTAACATTTTGATAACACTCTTGGAAAATGCTTAATTTTTTGGTTCTTCCATTTATTTACAAATATATGAAAACATTTTGATAGGTATTGAATCAATCTCTGAATTTTATTTGTAAATTAACAAAAATAATTTTTATTAAAATTATCATACATTTTTGGCTAATGTAAACATTAGCCAAAAATGGCTGGCAATTTGCTTTGAATGATTTTGCAATTTGAAATCACAGACGATAAAGTATAACAATTTTATTACACAGCAAATAGCATCTAGAAAAATTAGTTTTAAAAAAATCATTGCTATCGGACCCTTTCTAGAATTTCAAATATGAAAATATTAATGAAAACTGCCATTTATCATCAAAACTTATCAAATCTTCATAGCCCATAAAAGGAAATTATTATAGTTTAATTTTGAAAACCGCAGGAA